TAGAGATGCGCGACCCCTAGTTTACTACTAACGAAACGAGACAATAACAATTACGAATTAAAGTCTCGAATCTAGCAATTAAACTATGAACATTTAACGTAGTTGGCCAGACTAAATCAAACACCCACAATTCATAAACATTAAACACAGATAGCATGAATCAACTCATCAACAAAAATAAATACGGCGTCTAGATTAATCAACGATAAATATAAATCCTTCAATCCATAGACAAATCAAAGTTAAGGTTCAAACATCTCCTAGAACTGGATAAAAATATTAGCCTAACATACTGAATCATTTATTTATATAAAAAAAAACAAAAAATCCGTGGACATCCATAAAAAAAAAAAAGAACATTCTGGACAAAAATAAAACAGCCGGATTCTCAAAATCCGTTTTTCAAGGAAAAACGGATTTTGAGAATCCGTTTTTATTTTTTTATTATTTTTATTTTTATTTTTTTTTATTTTTTGTCAAAAAACGGATTTTCAAAATCCGTTTTTTATTTTTTATTTATTTTTTTAATAATAAAAAATAAAAAACGGATTTTGAAAATCCGTTTTTTATTTTTTAATTATTTTTTTATTTATTTTTTATTAATTAAAAAAAAAAAACTTAAAAACGGAATTGAAAATCCGTATTTAATTTTATTTTAATTTTTTGTTTTTTAAAAAATAACGGGCAATTACACTATAATTGACCGAGATTGTACTAATTTGACTTCAATTGCACTAATTCGAGTTCGATTACACTATAATTGACCGAGATTGTACTAATTCGACTTCAAGTGGACTAATTCAAGGCCGATTACACTATAATTGACCGAGATTGTACTAATTTGACTTCATTTGAACTAATTCGATGTCGATTTTATTATAATTGACTGAGATTGTACTAATTTGACTTCATTTGGACTAATTTAATTTCAATTGGACTAATTTAATTTCAATTGGACTATAATTGACTGTGATTGTACTAATTTGACTTCAATTGGACTAATTTGACTTCAATATGACTAATTTGACTTCATTTGGACTAATTCGAGGTCGATTACACTATAATTGACAGAGATTGTACTAATTTGACTTAAATTGGACTAATTTGACTTCAATTGGACTATGATTGACCGAGATTGTACTAATTTGACTTCAATTGGACTAATTTGACTTTATTTGGACTATAATTGACCGAGATTGTACTAATTCGAGGTCGATTACACTATAATTGACCGAGATTGTACTAATTCGACTACAATTGGACTAATTCGAGTTCGATTACACTATAATTAACCGAGATTGCACTAATTCGACTTCAATTGGACTAATTCAAGGTCGATTACACTATAATTGACCGAGATTGTACTAATTCAACTTCAATCGAACTCGAATTAGTCCAATTGGATTCGAGTTCGATTGAAGTCGAATTAGTACAATCTCGGTCAATTATAGTGTAATCGACCTTGAATTAGTCCAATTGAAGTTAAATTAGTACAATCTCGATCAATTATAGTGTAATCGAACTCGAATTAGTCCAATTGAAGTCGAATTAGTACAATCTCGGTCAATTATAGTGTAATCGACCTCGAATTAGTCCAATTGAAGTCAAATTAGTACAATCTCAGTCTATTATAGTGTAATCGAACTCGAATTAGTGCAATTGAAGTCAAATTAGTACAATCTCGTTCAATTATAGTGTAATCGAACTCGAATTAGTCCAATTGAAGTCAAATTAGTACAATCTCGGTCAATTATAGTGTAATCGACCTCGAATTAGTGCAATTGAAGTCAAATTAGTACAATCTCGGTCTATTATACTGTAATCGAACTCGAATTAGTGCAATTGAAGTCAAATTAGTACAATCTCGGTCAATTATAGTGTAATCGAACTCGAATTAGTCCAATTGAAGTCAAATTAGTACAATCTCGGTCAATTATAGTGTAATCGACCTCGATTTAGTCCAATTGAAATCAAATTAGTACAATATCGGTCAATTATACTGTAATCGAACTCGAATTAGTCCAATTGAAGTCAGATTAGTACAATCTCGATCAATTATAGTGTAATCGAACTCGAATTAGTGCAATTAAAGTCAAATTAGTACAATCTCGGTAAATTATAGTGTAATCGAACTCGAATTAGTCCAATTGAAGTCAAATTAGTACAATCTCGGTCAATTATAGTGTAATCGAACTCGAATTAGTCCAATTGAATTAAAAAAATAAATAAAAAATAAAAAACGGATTTTGAAAATCCGTTTTTTAACAAAAAATAAAAAAAAATAAAAATAAAATAATAAAAAAATAAAAACGGATTCTCAAAATCCGTTTTTCCTTGAAAAACGGATTTTGAGAATCCGGCTGTTTTATTTTTGTTCAGAATGTTTTTTTTTTTTTATGGATGTCCACGGATTTTTTGTTTTTTTTATATAAATAAATGATTCCAACGCTTCAATTGGATTGGTGTGGTTGGAACTTGGAATCACGTTATTTAAAACAAATTTTTGGGGAAAAAAAAAACGAAAACAAAAATAATAATTATTGTCTCATATAAAAATTATTTGTTAAGAAAATTGAAATAAAATTAATATACTTCATGAATGTAGAATAAAACAACATAGAAAAATACTACAGTGTCGTCACGAAATGATTTCGTGACATATATGTCTAATACTACAGTACCGCCACGGAATAATTTCGTGACATATATGTCTGAGATTATTTTGATATGAGAATATAAGAATATTAATTGGAAAGAAGTAATGAGAAATATATGAACTCATTAATAGTATTTTTTTGTCATAAATATATAATAATAACTATTTTTATTTTTTAATTATATTCGAGCCCTGCGTCTAGATCTGCGACCTGGCGTCATAACGCCTCGTTTTGGCGTCCCAACGTCTCTATGGGGGCATCGCGCCTATTGTCAACATCGTTGCGTCTCGGCGGCATCGTGTAAGAATCATATTGGTCTGTTGATACCAACTGACGTAGAAAGCGTAACGAAAGGGATAAAACAAGATAAAGACTCTCAAATATATTTATTAATCAAATTCAACCGATTGAAACACAATGGAATAAATCTTTAAACATAACTCCTACAAAGCCCTAACATTGTCTAACAAATAAAGATAATTATATATCTTTTATACCAGATAAAAGATTAGAATAATTAAATAACTTTACTAACAAATCTAGGACTAAATCACTAACAACAAATAAAAAATAAATATTTAAATTAAAAATCCCGATAATTATGCCTGTCCTCATCTCAAACACGCGACCAACGAATTGAAGTCCCTCGCTAGGTCGTGAGTGTTCGTAGCCTGCGAGTCCATCGCCCGCATTGCCTGCACCCATCGTCAAGACATCACGCGTAACGTGCGCGTTCGTCGCTGAGAGGAGTGCACACCGTAGTCGAGGAATCACCATCTAGCGAACATCCCAGCGAGCTCGCAAGTGTTGTGCTTTGCCAACTCGCGAACCAACGAACATTTTATCTAGATTGCTAGTGTTTCTTCATTTAATGTGCGTGCTTAGTGTATGTTTTGGTTGTCGGTATAAATACATTCATTCATTTGCATTTTGATGATATGGACTTTATTGCTCACTCTTCCACTTTAGGGTTTAGTTATTTTTCAGTTTTCTCTCTAGTTTTATGTTCTTAGGAGCTTCAAGACTTGTGATTTTCGGCGATGCCGTTTTTAAGTGAAATTTCAAGCTTTTCGCATTAATTTTGTACGAGCTTGCAAATGAAGTGTAAGTTCCTCGTTTAGGACTTATTACTTCGGTTTTTGGTCCTTCTCTTTTATGAAGTTGTTCAAGGTGAATATGGTGCCTTGCCGAAATTATGTGTTTAGGCTCGGTTTTAGTTAAAATTTCTAGCTTTCATTTTGTTTTGCTTATCTAGTGTAGTTAGCTCGTTAAAGTTTAATCTTTCAAAGTAAAAAATCAAGACTTGGTTTAAAGGTCGGTTATTTCATAATTGATCGTTCAACTTTAGCCTCTAGTTGCATTAGACTTAGCTCGAATCAACTTGCTTAGAATGTTTAGGACTTTGTTTTCGATTTTTGTGCTTTTGACATCTAGTTAGTAATCGAAGCTCCGAACCATCTTCATTGAAAAGACAACCTGAGGTAGATATTTTGTTCGACTCGGCAAAAATAGCACCAGGGTCGAGAAAATATTAATAAATTTATTTATATTTGTCATCATTTCCAATTTATAAGAGAAATTGTACAAAACATATTAACAAGGTCAAATGTACAAAAATTATGCAAATTCTAATACATTCACAATTATTGTAAAAATGTAAATTTCATGTTAAAAATTAAAATTATATTAATTTGTTTAAAAGTAAATTAAAAATTTTGAAAAAAAAAATATCCGGGCACCTAGATGCCGCCAAGACTGCCTAGCCCGCCTAGAAGCGAGTACCTTCACAACTGTCCAAGCGGGCTAAACGATGCCTAATCGTTCGAGCGCCTAGAGTAGAGATAAATGTTGAATATGGATCATTTTAATTAAGAAAATATTGAGAAATCTATGATAAATAATGACATTGTTTAGATGTTAGCAAATTGATATAAATTGAGGGGATGATCCTCATCTAGATGCTTGGTCGTCAAATTTGCTAATTAACTTATTTATTAAAGAACTTATTGATTAGACTTTTGAGCCCTAACATTAATTATAAAAAAGTTCAATAGAAGCGTTTTGAAAATACAAGATTCACAGTTCAATATAAGAGCGTTTTGAAAAGAAATGATTCGTAAAATAATATATTAACATCAAGATTTCAAATAAATTATACAACTCGCTATTTATCAAATAATTATGTATAAATAACTAATATAATCAACTATTAATTCGTTATCATCTATACACTAATACAATTAGTTGCCAAACAAGATCATTGCAATTATAATCAACAAAGATTAAGACCTCTAACTTTATAAAAGAAAAAGGAAACAACTAGAAACTAAACCAAGGATGTCCCTCCAAAGCAAAAACAATACACGAGCTTTATAATGCACTAGCCAGTAGGTCACAAATGTTTTTTCCAGATTTGTAAAACCTTTCCGTCCAACCTTTTTTTACTTTGTGCAAAAATAATTTCCACCCTAATTATCCCCAAATCAATCAATCATTCTCCTCTACATACAAATTTGCGCAGGTATATATACACACACACACGCGTAGCCTCCTGAAGCTATTTCTTCACTTCAACCCTTCCTTTCTGGTTCATTATCTCTGTTTCATGGCTATAGGGAGAAATAATCACCATCCCTTGCAGATTGAGGACCTTCTTGAGGACCTGTAGAAGGGATTTCAATTCATCATTTTCTCCTTAATTGCCGATTATTTGCTGCGGTACCCATATTTCAATATAGATCATCCATTTTGAGATAAGGTGTAGAACTAAGAATTAGTTGGGTTTTCGTTATCTTTTAGATTCAGAGGGTTCTAGGGTTTCTGTTACTTATTTTTTCGCCTTTTTTCTTTTAGCCTTTTCAGCTGTAGGTGTTAAAAGATTATTCCTTAGGTTTTACAAGATTTTTAAGGGTTTTTGTCCGGCTTAGTGGTACTTTGAGAGTGAAAGATTTTGTGATTCTAGTGTAAATTTTTGAAATGGATGGATATGGAGGTGGAGGGGATATTCGAGATTCGTCCAAGCTACAGCATCTCGAATCATTTGCTGAGAATCCCACAGGTGAACCATAGCCATGCTTTGTAGATTTATATCTTTATACTCTGACTTGGTTTCGTGTAGATCTGATTGTAGTTTACTTCTGGGTGTTTCTTATTGACTTCAATTTCCTTCTTGTGTTGCTTAATGGTAGTTCGTGGTCTTTCATGAAAGTCCTGGAAATACTTGAGTGGTTTATAGGAATTTAGAGATTGTGATTGAGGATACTGCTTTGGCATGCTTCCCATTTGCAGTGTAGTTTTTAAGCTTCCTATATTGGGCGTGGATTGTGTGTTTGTTTTACCAGTTAACTATGTAGTTTTATTAGAATTAATCTATTTCTCGATGACTGTTTAGGTTCTTTATTTATGGTTTGATTGGGATTGGGATTTAGAAATTTAAGGTGGTGTTTATTACTTTTTAATTTCAGTGTCTTTGGCTTCCCAAAGCTTTCTTTGCAGACTCTGGGTGCTTATGACTTTTTTCAAATAGGACGATTGTGGATTTCTATTGGTATTGAGTTTGTAGTAATGTTGTTTTGTGGCGCAGGGAGTGCGGTATTTGATGCTTCACAATATGAGTTCTTTGGTGGCGATGTGGTTGATGAAGTCGAGCTTGGAGGTTTAGATGACGAAGAGGATGATCCTACTCCAGTTGGGTTTGAGGAAGAAGAGTTTCAGTTTGGCAAGGAAGAGGTTTCTGTTTAAGCTTTTAAGTTTATTCACAGCAGTTTCAAGGCGTATGTGATAGTTAACTTTTTTAAATGTGTGAAGCCGTAGGATTCATCATTTGTGTCTCCAAATTATTCCTCTGTCTTATGGGCTCACCACCCCACTTCTGTTACTTACGACCTTGTGGATTACTTTTTTTTTTTCTTTGATTGGGTTGATCATGTTCTGCATAAATAAGAAACTTTGTTTTTAAAATGTGTTGAAGTAGTTGGCATTATCTTTATTTTCTGTTAGTGTTGACCTTGTCACTTTTTCTATCTGCATGTATTCCATGCTTATCTTTTATTTTACTCTGTGTTAGTGTGGAATCATAAGTTATAGTGGGTATGGGCTTTAGCTAGACTTGTGCATGGTTGAATAATCTTGCCTCTAGATCAAATTACTATTGTCCCTTCTGACCTCATACCACTTAAAAGAAAGAGCATAATCTTGTAGTCAGTTTGGTTTGTTTGTTTAAAATTTCATTTTATTGCTTTATATGGCCTCTATAGCCACAACACAAATGTTTTACTTTTTAGTTATCTGGAGATCGCTCTCTCTCTTACACCCAAGCAGTCATGGAGCTGTTGAGTAATTATTTCTTGGATTTATATGCACATCCTGTGAATTATAACTATAAGAATAATTCATACTTTGTGGTGACTTCTGTTATGCAGGAAGATGTATTGGGACCTCTGTCTGAAATTGATGATCTTTCATGCACATTTTCTAAGGTGACGCTTCCCATATGCTGCAAACTTACCCTCATTCTGATTCAGAAGAATATGTTTTTCTTACATGCAGCATGGTTTTTAATATTTCAATTTGTTCATGTTAAAGCATTAACTGTATTCTGTATGTTAATCCTGGTTCTTTCTCGCACCCATTCTTTCCATTCCTTATATAAGCTTGGCAGCGCCATCTGATAGAAAATATTGGTATCTCATACCCTTACCTTTTTTTTTGTTTTTTTTTTCTTTTAATAAATTTGAAATACAGTTAAACACAGTTGCTGGTGGGCCAACTAATGCTGGAGTTAGGAGAGAATGGGGATCCAGAGAAAGTGAGTGAACTCTATCAGATCATCTTTGTTACTTTAGTGCTGTTTACATTTCACTTTTATGTTTGGCTGTTTGCGTATGTCAGTCGTTAATCAAGCTAGTACGGCTTACATATCAATAAAAATGTAAGGATAAGCCTCTATTCATGGTAGTCCTTGTTTATCATGCTTGTCTAGGTCCTGAAAATTTGAATATTCACCTAGTTGCATATTTACTTTCTGGAACTCTTTATGAACCTGCTCTTCTGAATTATATATCTTAATAGGACCTGTTATTTTATACAACACATTAAAACTAAAATCAGAACTAACGAGTCATCGACCAACTTAATATGTAATACTCTGCAGTTTTTGGAAAATAAGTACACGGTTTGAATTCTACCTAATATAACATACTGGCAATTATAAAAACTGCGTGTTTAATTCCTGTTTCTGTATCGTGACTGCCCTTAACTTAAAACTACATCATTATCTTTTCTCCAGGTTCCTCTGCTTCGGAGTTGGCCCGAGACACTGATTACAGTAATTGGCTCGATCAGCGTGCTTTCGATGCCGAACCAATTCAAGAAAGCCCAAAATGGGCCCCACACCCATATTCCTCCTCAGCCCGCTTTATGGAGCCCAATTCACTGCACAGGACATCTTCATACCCCGAGCAACAACAACAGCAGCAATACCCGCACCACCCACCGCAAGGCCTTCGCCACCAGCATTCGAGCGAACCAATTCTTATCCCGAACTCGCCATTCACTTCGTACCCACCTCCCGGAGGCAGATCTTCTCACCAAGCTTCACCCAATGGCCAGCTTAATAACAATATTCCATTCCGCCCTCAGCTTCAAATGAGCGTATCGCCCCACAGCCCTCAGTTCGCCGGAAATTTACCTCAGTTGCCACCTCAGGGCCTCTCGCTTAATAGTCAAATCCACAACCAACACTCGAATCATCCCGGTTTGTACCCTATGAACGGTTTAATGCCTCCTCAGATGATGCCACCTCAGCGACCTGGAATTCAGCGTCCTTTTCAGCCGTCGATTCCCCATCTACAGGCCCAGATATTAAACCAGCACCTTTCCGCATCCCCACCGAACTTCGACTTGCTTCCAAGAGCCAGACATTCGGTAATTCGCCATCCTCACCCGGGAGGCTCGAATTGGACGAGATTCAAGTCGAAATACATGTCAGCGGACGAGATCGATAACATCCACAGGATGCAGCTAGCCGCAACCCACAGCAACGACCCGTACGCCGAGGATTATTACCATCAAGCCATCCTTGCTCGAAAATCGGCCAACGCTAAACTTAGACACCATTTCTGCCCGACTAATTTGAGAGATAATTCATCGAAACCTCATTCGAGCGACGAGCCACACCCTTTCCTTCAGGTCAATGCTCTCGGGCGAGTCTCCTTCTCCTCCATAAAAAGGCCCCGTCCTCTCCTCGAGGTGGAATCTCCGAATTTGTCCCAAAACAACAGTGGTGAACATGCGGAGTCGAAAGTTTCCGAGAAGCCTCTCGAGCAAGAGCCGATGCTGGCGGCCCGTGTGGCGATAGAGGACGGTATATGTCTTTTGCTCGATGTGGACGATATCGATCGGTTTCTGCAGTTCAACCAACTCCCGGACGGTGGGGCCCAGCTGAGGCAGAGGCGGCAGATCCTTCTCGAAGGCCTGGCTTCGTCCATGCAGCTCGTCGATCCTCTGGCTAGAAACGGGCACACGGTGAGTTTATCTCCCGGGGACGATTTTGTCTTTTTACGATTAATCTCCCTTCCCAAAGGAAAGAAGCTCCTAATCAGGTACCTGGAAGTTTTGCCACCGGGTGGTGAGCTCAGCCGAGTCGTTTGCATGGCTATCTGTCGTAACTTGAGGTTTTTGTTCGGGAACACGCCAGCCGATCCCGAGCTGTCGACAGTTGTCGCCAGCCTGGCGAGGGCAGTCTCGTTGTGCGTTCGGTTCTTGGATCTCAAGCCGCTGGCGGCGTGTTTAGCTTCGGTGGTTTGCTCGAACGAGCACCCGCCACTGCGGCCGGTGGGGCATGCGGCGGGTGACGGAGCTTCTGTGATTCTGGGTTCGGTGCTCGAGAGGGCCACCGAGCTTCTGACGGGCCCACGCGCGGCGGAAAGCTGCAGCGCGCACCAGAGGGCGTTTTGGCAGGCTTCGTTTGATGCTTTTTTCGGGATGCTCACAAAGTATTGTTTTAACAAGTATGATTCTGTCTTGCAGCAATGTTTAGCCGCCTCCTCGAATGGCTCGCCGGATGAGTTGGCTAAGGCGATCAGTCGGGAGATGCCGGTCGAGCTCTTGAGGGCGAGCCTTCCTCATACGAGCGAGCAGCAGAGGAAGGTGCTTTTGGAGTTTGCCCAGCGGTCAATGCCCGTGATGGGTTTTGGTGGTGGCTCGTGAATGAGGAAAATCGCGTGAGAGGAATTTTGTCGATTATGCAAATGTTGGTTAAAAATTTTAAAACAGGTTCTTTGCGTTTTGTGGGGGATAAGACTCGTAAAAGGAAGCGTTGAAATTGCAAAATTTATCACTTTTATCGAGACAATTAGAGTTTCACTACTATCTTTGTTGTCCCCTGTTTTCATGGTGGGAGAAGAGGTTTTGAAGTTTGCCACCAGCGTACCAGTGCAAATTGGGATTTCATGTTTCTTTTTTTCTTTTTTTTTTTTTCACGAGNACGAGTTTTTGAGAGCTTGTTTTGATGCTCTTTTTGTGCTATCTGTGTAGTTTTTGGGAATGATCAAGGCCTAGAAATGTACATTTTGCGGTTATATGTTGACTCTGTTCAGACTTCACAGGGGAAAGGTTTTAACTTTTAACTCATGCGATCTTGATTCGATTTTGTAAGTTCTGTTTTTTGCTGTTATAAACTTTTGCTCTTGAACTTTGGTATTTTTGCTCTGAAATTTTAGCGACTTCGACTGTTGACAATTTAATTTATACTACTTCCTATTATTTTTAAATGTCATCTTGACTTTATCAATTATTAACCAAAATAAATGTCGTTTTAGATCTTTTGTATATATTTTTTCATTATTACCCTCATTTAGTTAATAAATACAAAAAAAATTATTCTTAATTAGTGTATAACTTCTCAACGACACTTATTATGAATAGGAGGGACAAAAAAATTATTCTTAATTAGTGTATAACTTCCCAACGACACTTATTATAAATATGAGGAAGTACAATCTTTCTATGAACGTGATTATTTATGTCGAAATAGAAATGATACCAATGTTTTTATGTGTGATAGATTACCAATGTTTTTGTTTTTGTGTTTTTTTCTTTTTTATTTAAATCTATTCGTGCTCAATGTCGTATATACAGGATATTGGATTCGATTTCAACACAATTCGAAATCTCATGTCTACACCTACATGTTAAATGAAAATATTGCTCTTTACTAATGATTTTGATTTCCGGGTGAGAAATAAATGTAACAATCTATGAATGATTTTAATTGAAGTCATATTTTATCCATCACCTGGATTTTCGGCCTTTTAGGATTTATCAAACTTATCACGATGACACTCATTTCAATTAGCTGATAATGAATGGTTATTTGTATTTATCACTTATCACAACACTTGTTTCAATTAGCTGATAATGAATGGTTAATTGAATTAATGGTGTTCACTTACCAAATGATTGAATTAATCATTTTGACTAATAAAACAATAAAATTAGAGGTTTTGCCGGATAAAAATTTTAATTCACCTTTAAAATTTAAATCCCTAACCCTAATTTGAAGCTACTCATTTAGTTTAATGAATAACCAAAATTAAAGATTTTGCTAACCAAAGCTCTAACTTACCACCACACAGCCACTCATGACCGTATTAGTAATTTCACATAGGCATTCAATTTTAAAAAGGGAAGCGGATACTTCCAAGAAGCATCCAGCAACGATCTCAAGCCTCCCACCACGTCACCTGAAAATTGTAACAAGATTAACACGTGCCTCTTCTTTATTGGGGTCAGACGCGGGCCCCACCGTACTTCCCTCACTATTTATTGTACTCTCTTTGCCTTCCGGTGGGGCGCACAATCACCACCCACACTAAAACTCTTCACAACAAACAAAACAGTGCTCTCACTCACAAGCCCATCTTCACAGATTCCAAACCCTAATCTCGCCGGCGTTTATTGGAGACGATAGCAGAGTTTTTAGTGCGCTTTTAGTGTTTTTTATTTCCATTTTTTTCTGTTTTTGTTAAGAGAGGTGTATGATCGTCGGAGATGGCGTGGGCGTGCGTGAACAACGTCGGGATCCCGCCGGAGAGTTTTCTGGACCGTCCTCCGCCGTGCGGGTGGCTGAGCAGTCCTCGGTACCCAAAGTTTTCCGAAGAGGAGATGCCGGACGCGGCCTCCGACGGGTCCGCCGGGAAGAAGCGGGCTGAGTCGGACAATGCCGACGAGGAGATGCTGGATAATCCAGATCCGGAGACATCCGGTGGCGGTTTCGGCGATTTCGAGTTCCGGCTTGTAGATCCGGTGGCGATGCTCACGGCCGACGAGCTGTTCTCCGACGGGAAGCTCGTCCCGCTCCACCTCGCCGCGATCCGGCGGGAGGTCGTTCCGGACGGCGCTCCAGCCGTAGTCGGATCGGCGGAGTTGCCGGATGTTCGCCGGAGAAATGAGGTGTCCCCGACGGATCCCTATCTTTTCTCCCCCAAGGCCCCGGGATGCACCGCCCGCTGGAAGAAGATGCTCGGGTTGAAGAAACTGTACCAGATCAAACAGGACCCTCACAAAACGACGTCGTCCTCGTCTTCTTCTTCCTCGTCCCCGCCGTCTTCCCCCAACGAAAACAACACCAAATCCACTAGAAATCTGAAGCACCTCCTCCACCGCGCCTCCAGATTGAACGCCTCAGTCGACTCGGCGTCCTTAACTCTCCCCCTGCTGAAGGAATCGGAGAACAACGAGTCGCTACCCATCTCCTCCCGACTTTCTCTCTCCTCCTCCTCCTCCGGCCACGAGCACGACGATCTCCCCCGCCTCTCCCTCGATTCCGACAAGCCGCCGCCCGCCGGAAACCTCTCCAGAGTCAGACTCGCCAAGCGCAGATCCGCGGAGCCCCGAGACGGCCGGAGTCCAGCGCGGAGGAACCCGGAGTCCTCGGAACCTGCGCGTGGCATGTCAGTGGACAGCCCGCGGATGAATTCGTATGGGAAGATCGTGTTCCACGGGCTGGAGAGGAGCTCGAGCAGCCCGAGCACGTTCAACGGCGGGCCGCGGCCGTACAGGCCGCGGGGGATGGAGAGGTCGTACTCGGCGAACGTCCGGTTCGCGCCGGTTCTCAACGTGCCGGTTTGTTCGCTCCGCGGCTCATCCGGCGTTTTCGGTCTTTTCTCGACTCAGCAGAAGAAAGATGGCGGCAACGCCGTTGGCGTGAACAACAGGGTCCAACAGCAACAGCAGCACAATAAGAACCGTACCGATCGAACTTGAGAGAGTAGTAGGGTTGTTATTTCTTTCCTTTTTTTTTTGTCTTTATTTATTTCACCTTTTTGGTCCAAATAACCTGGAATTTAGCGCTAATGTTGTCGTTTATTTTTTTGAAGGTTACCCTGTGTTTAGTATTACTCTTATGTACATAAGGGGTGAAGTTGAACTTGAACCATTTCCGTCTTTTCTCTTTAGGCATTTTGGTGATTCTTGCTATTATATTATTGTATAGTTTAAACATATTGTGGGATAGACATGTTGGTTAGACAATCGTATTCTCAAATTTAAAACTATTCTAATTTAAATATTAATAAATCAAAATATAATATGATGGGTCGCCATAAGAATTTGTGTAGTATAAAGTAAAGCGAGATACTGAAAAGTGCACTCTTTTTCCATCACATCTTTACAGGAAAAGGTGATTTGGATTCTCTATGCTTTATGATAAAAAATAAATGTGAGAGGAATGTGGATTAATTACTGCATGTGACCATGATTTGTTCTTGGGTTTTGGTACTTTGCTTGCACTTGCAATTTGTTTTGACTCATTTTTTTTGTCGGTATTTCTATCAACTTGCAAATTAATTAAGTCTTATTATTATTCAAGCTTAATTAACTTGGGTGCAAAATAAATAAATAATGTGAGATTATGAGATGCACATATACTATGTGCTGTTGTTATCTGTAGACTCTACTGTTGTGCACGTTTTTTGAATTTTTCCCTATTTTGGGGGATAATGGCCAGCCCAACTTTAAAATTAAGAAATGAAAAAAGAATCAGATTCTGCCAGCTCGGATTTGTTTTTGGTTAAATATGGTACTCTTATTTTATTGTATTTGGACGGTAACGGTCAAATGACTGAATTTCACAGTAACTGCATTCAGGCAGCTGTCCCTAGGTCTATTTTTTAAAAGAATAGTAAACAGAAATAAATACTTTTTCCTATTTTTAATAAATATCGTTTTGAGAAATTGCACAATAATTAAAAATATTTTTTTTTATCAATAATAATCTTCATTAATGAGGATAGAGACTGAGTACAATTCTACAATGGGTTTAAGTCAGTGATCCAAACATTAATTGGTCGTGTATTAGCCGATGATATATATATGGACAAGCCGGAATATGAGTGTGTGACTTGTTAGAATTGATTCTATTGATAGAAAGGGATGTCATAATGGGGGTTTTGAATAAGAGGACCTTTTGGTTTTTCATTCCTATTGAAGACTCGGAACGAAGGCCTTATTAAATGAATCTGTCATGGACTTAGACTTGGCAGAGTCCGATCTGGTTCTCGACAATCTATCTAATCCGATCGATTGCGTAAAGCCCGATGTTTTGAGAAAAAATTGAGAGAGAATATGAAAAGATGTAGTTATTTATTAGTTAGATGAGGGTAATAATGGAAAAATATGTACAAAATAGTCAAAACCCATGTTTTAACTACCGTACCGTACCGGCCGGTAATACCGGATACCGGCCATTGGTATGGTACAATTACACTCAAAATACCGGATTTACGGTTATACTGGTTTGTATCGGGATCATAATGCAAAAACCGCAAAATACCGGCCAATAAAAAAAATTTAATTTAAAAAAATAAAATTTAAATTGGTAGTTAAAATGTTTAATTTTTATCTCATTGAGAAGTTGTACTTAATGATTATACTCATTTATTTTTTACTTTTTTACATTTGATATTATATATTCTTATGTATATTTATATATATCATTATATTTGTTAATCTGGTAATACCACCGATATTACCGGTCCTACCGGTAATACCGCGTACCCGTGGCTTGACCGGTATGACCACCGGTACGGTATTCAAAACACTGGCCAAAACGATATTTATTTAACAAATGATCAATTAAGCTAGGATGATAAATAATAAAAATAGGAGGGAGTACAAATTAAAAAATTACTAAAATTCATACCCCTAAAAAAATATATATATACTATATAAATTAGTTAGCTGATAGGTAATAGGTTAGTTAATAGTTGATAAATAAATTTGGAAGTTAGCTGATAGTTAATAGGTTAGTTGATAGTTGATAGATGATAAATAAATTTCGAACCAATAGATGATAGTTTATAATAGATAAACTAGCTAATATGGTAAAAAATATATGATAAAACTACCTGGTTTATAAGCCAGTTGAAATAAAAATTTCTAACGAACTTATTTGAACAACGATCATCATCCGACAAA